GGCCCCAAATCTAGGAACGTAAGCAATTTGGGGATGCTGGTCAGGTATCGACGAAGGAGCCGCCAGGGGTGAAAGCAGAGGCCGGCCGAAATTGTAAATTGGGGTGGTGGCCTTCGCGAGAGTGCTGCTGTAGCCAGGGGTTCCCTGAGTGCTCACCCCGCATTCTTGCAATTACTCCGGGGATTTCGAGGCTTGCTTGGGAGTTGCCGGGGATACTTCGGGGATGCCTGGGGATGCTGGCCAGGCATCGACGAAGGAACCGTCAGGGGGGAAGCCACAGTCGCGGGCAGAGGCCGGCCGAAATTGTAAATTGGGGCGGTGGCCTTCGCGAGAGTGCTGCTGTAGTCAGGGGTTTTCGGAGTGCTCACCCCGGGTTCTTGCAATTACTCTGGGGATATTCTGGGATGTCGAGGTTTGGCTGGGCTACTTGGGGGAATCTTTGGGATACCCGGCAGGCTTCGACACAGCAGATCCCAGAATCCATGGTGTCGCCACCGCAGGCCGGCATAAACTGTAACTTCGGGTGGGGGCCTGTCCAGAAGGGTCGCCGTGGACATGGATCTCTTGAGTCCCTCCCCCTCTGTTTTACAGTTAGCTCCATTTGCCGCAGCGCAGGCCATTCCGGTACGATCTCCAGAAGAAGTCTTCGCGCACAGCATCCTCGAAACCATGCAGGAAACTGGGACCGGGATTTCTTGGAAGGGACGCAGTTTGCGACCTAGCCGCACCGAGTACCACATGTTTGTAGATCTCGCTTCTGGTGTTTCATGTTGCTGCTGCATGCTGGTGCCTCCAGGGACAAGTTGCCCATGGCAACCTACAAGCAGATCCTGGATGTGCTCGGCCGTGACTTCCGAGAGCAGTTTCTGCAAGGCTCCAAGATCGAGGCTGCCGCGTACTTCCGGTTCCGAGATATGGGCTTTTCACTTGAGGACTGGGCAGAGCTTTCTGCAGATCAGCGGAAGCAGCTGGTTCCCGAGGATCCCGGGGCATACCTGGCAGACCACGCAGAGTGGCAGGTTCTGGTTGTTGCCATGGAGTGGGACCTTGATGAACCTGCCGAGCCGCTTACCGATCGCATCGCTGCGATGGATGATGAGATGAAGGCCTTGCTGCTGCTCCTTTGCCGTGTGATGCCAGAGATGTTCGAAGGGCTGCGTCTGGATCTGAAAGCACTGAAGACGGAGCAGGGTCAAGCAGAGCCAGCCAAGCGGGAAATCAAAGAGGAGGCTCCGGCTCCCTCATCGCACTTCGGCCCCCTGGTGCTTGCTTCGAGTGCCGCGAAGCGCCTAGCCAATGCGCCGCCAGCGAGCGATGCTGGGGAGGAGGATGAAGGCAGCCCTGCGGTCGCACGGTCCAGGCGGAAGCGTGCCAAGAAGGTTGACCATGCGTCCTCTGGGTTGAGCATGCTGACCCAGGCTGGCCTGACATACAACAAGGACTTCCAGGTGCAGCATGCTCGGCTGAAGCTTCCGATAGCTCAGGGCCACTGGAAAAAGTTCTGCCAGCAGGTCGCAAAGAACGGCATCTTGACATGTGCTGCCTGTGTGTTACTACGCGACCGAGTTCAAGAGCAAGGCCAGGGTACTTCGGTTCTACTTGATGATGATCACGATGACGAGATGCTGGTTCATGCCGAGCCGGTGGAGCAGCCTCAGCAAGCTCAGGTGGTCAAGGATAAGCGTGGCCGTCCCAGTTCCAAGTCCGATGCACCCTCGAAGCCTCGCCTGCACGACTCTATCCTCAAGCACCGTCCAGGGATTTACGAGCTGAAGGTGGGCGCACGATACAGCTGCTTGGCTTGTGGCTGTGAGGTCAACTTGCAGCGAGCAAGTACCTCGGGGTGGGACTTCTTGGTCAAGCACGAGAGCTCTGCCAAACACATCAGCGGCCTCCAACGCATGGGTGCTGTCCGCGATGCCGAGGAGGATGAGGAAGAGCTGCAGCCGCTGCAGGACACAGGCTGTCCCGGGCATTTGCTGGGAGCAGCGGGCTGCATGCTCGAGCCTATGGAGGCAGGTCGTCGTGGCTTGGGGTTGTAGCTGTGTAGCGCTGTAGCCTATTAGCTCCGTGTGGCCATGCCTTGATATCAGGCCAGCATCCGTGCTTGGATATCGTCGGGGATGCTGCAGATCAAGGGTGGGAACCTAAGCAAGCTGGTGGTGCAACCGATGGAGGAGAGATTCTTGATCCGCCACGTGCATTGCTCTGGCAAATCCAGCTCTTCGCTTTGTGTTTCCTGCCAGCTCCTGCCCAAGAGAAAGCCGTTTCTTGAGGACATCGCCCATTGGGCCCTGAGGCTGGATCAGGCGAGCCTGGCATATCGCTCAGTCTACAGGCCTGACGAAGTGCAACAGCTGCTATCCGATATGAAGGGGAAGGACTACTACAAGTACTGCAAGCAGGAAGTCGAGAACTGCCAGCTAGCCTTCACCAACGGCGGGTGCGATGCTTTGATGCATCTGTGTTGTCGCGCTTTCTACTGCATCAACCACCGTATCCGGACCCCGCAGCTGGAAAGCTTCATCGCCTCGCATCTAAGCGGTCTGTCGATGCCGGCAGACTCTGAGACTGCAGCCTACAAGCAGCTATGTCAGTGCCTTGACAAGCAGCTGGCGGCGGGGCAGATGCAGGAAGAGGACTTGAAATTGGCTGCATTTGTCGGCAGTGGTGGCCTCAGCAAACACAAGGCTGTGTCGGCGCTTTTCCGCACTTTCGTGGAGGCCGAAGGCAAGATAGCAAGGGGTGTGACACAGAGGCGAGGCTCGGCCAGGCTTTTCGATGACGGGACCCGATTGGAAGTCATGCACATGCTCGGCCGTACTTCTGCCAGCAAGGACGTCCTCAAGGCCTTCCACGTGAACCCCAAGAAGGCCGTCGGCCCTATCGACCTGCAGGCGGAGTACCTCCCTTCCTTCTTCGTGAGTCACGTGGACGCGGCCAAGCAGCAGGAGAGTGCCTCCTTGATCGCCGGCATGCTGGGTGCCAAGCAGGGCCGCTCCCTTGTGCTCTCCATAGATGAGACCTGCTGGAAAGCCTCGTACGAGGCAGTGTCACGCCTGCGAGGCTCTGGAATATCCATCATCGGCGGCGGATGGTCCAAAAGCAAGGACATGGCGGTGCTGACCCGCGACGATCCGCGGCCAGAGTCTTGTCTGGCCAAGATGACGATCAGTGTGCTGGTCACGAGGGCCGACTCCAACAAGCTCGCCATGGACATTGACATGACCCCGGTCTTCCAAGGGAAGGATCAAGGCAAGGGGGACATGTTCTTGGAGATCGTTGGGCAGGCCATGATGTCATTGACCCGGGCATGTTCCAACGTGCCGCCGTTGTCGGTGTCCTACGACAACGGCTCCTCGAATGCCCTCCTGAACAACTGCCTGCTGGGTTTGCTTCAGCCTTCGGATCTCGTCGGGGTATGCTTCTTCTCAGGGTGCACCGTCACCAAGATTGGGAAGATTCCTCTCTTCCCATTCGGCTACCTAACATGGTCCTCGACAAAACGTCCGAAGCCGGGTGATGAGCCCAAGTCCTTCGCCGTGACAGGATTTCGGGATGTTTATCATTGTCTCAAAAACTTTACATTACAGCATCTGAGCGCCTTACGGACGGTGTACCACGGGTCCTTTCCCGTGGATTACCTCCCCATGCTATGGGGGGGACTGAGCTCCTCTGCTTTCTCCGCCAAAGACCCTCAAAGTGACAGATGTTCTTTTATGCGCATGAGCCCGATCTTGATCAAGGACTGCGGATGGGAGGCCGATGGGGTCCGGTGCATGATCTTCCTGGGAGCCATCATGAGCTCAGCCATTTTGGCCGGCCAATCCCCAGCGGTGTCCTTTGCAAACGCTTGCTGCGCATATTGTTTACTCTGCCTCCATGCCAGCGAGAACGCAAGGAGATTTGGCAGCCGGCACCAGGAGTTCAGCCTCCCACACCAGACCTTGCGACACCTCCTTCAAATGCTCGCTCACACAATGCTAGCCTGCCTCACCCACCAAAGTGGCACAGCGTGGGACCTCAAGTGCCGGCAGGAGCGGGTGTGTGAAAGTCATTTCGCACGTATCAAGCGCCCATTCCAGGGCGTACCTGCCATTCGCGATGCCCTCTATGGAAGTTTCCTGGAGCATTTGAAGGTGTACCAAAGCTCCATGAGTGCCACATGGGCCACCCCAAAGCCAGTGAAGGGCATCAGCATGGACGAAGCTGCGGATCTGGCGCAACGTGCGATGCAGGATGCGGTGTTTTGGATGAGCTACCTGAGCAAATCCAGAGCTGCGAAGGTCGTGCGGGCCGACCTAAACCACTGGTGGGAAACACGGGGCAGGCAGCTGGTCGCCGGCAACGCCTCGGAGCCGGAGGCTGACGACGACGAAGGTTTCCTCGACAACTGGGCTGAGCAGCTGGAGGCGGAGGCGGAGGAGGAGGTTGACCAGCAGGAAGCAGATGCAGCCGATCTTCTGCAGGCCTGCGATGCTCACATGGACGTGAAAGAAAAGATCGGCGAGCTGCAGTCAGAGATCGCCGCTGCAGCTGAGGGTGGAAAACCGTGCGAGGGCGAGAGCCTGGTGGTCTCCACGGCGGACACCGTCTCCTTCGAGGACTTGTGCGTGGCCGACCTCTTCATGAAGATCCGGGGTCTCCCAGCCTTGCAAGCGGAGCTGTGTGAGGACAACCTCGTGGCCAACCTTCAACAGCGGATGGAGGAAGCTCGTCCCTTGCTGGACTCTTGGTGCAAGCGAGTCCGTCTTCAGGAGAAGGAGCTCAGCCCGGCTACAGTTGAGCAACGAGTCGTTCGTGGAGACAACGAGTGGAACCGCGTGCAGCACGAGCTTGCCTTAGCCAGGCAGGCGTCCCTGCTGTCCAGTGGCCAGCGAACGAGCCGCCTCGCAGTGTGGGCTGAGAAGCAGGAGGTCATCGCGAACAAGCTCGATGGAGAACAGCGCACGGGAGTGGCGCCGGTTCGGTACTTGGGGGCCCAGGACGGCAAGCGACAGGTGGTGCTCTACTTGCACGACGGGGCCCTGCATCATGGGCTTCTGCTGACAGTGTGGCGAGGTGCTGTCTTGAAGGATGGCACACGGCGGCTCCGAACCCGTCGCCCGGCGGCGGCACTGCTGCCTCTGGCGCACTGCGGCCAAGTGCGGCTGCTGCAGCTAGTGCAGGCGACGCCCAGCTCATGGGTGGCGACCTGTCTCTGCCCCTGCGACATCGTGGATCCGCTGAACATCGTGGCAATGTTCAACCCTGACGAGGTCGCCGAGGGCCCCAACCGATGCATTCTTCGATACTCCGACGAGGTAGGGCGGTTTGTGATAGCGGTTTTCTGCTTACCCTGAACCTTAAACCTTAAGCCTGAAACCCTCTGCCCTGTCAGTCCATGAAGAGCTTGAAGAAGTTCGTGGCCGAGGAGAGTTGGAAAAAGGGCGTGGAGTCGACGAGCCAGGCCCGGTAAAACCACAACCTTAACCACTAAATCCCCCCACATGCCTTCACCAAACCACAGCTCCCTGTCAGATGGCTCCCTTGCCGGCCGCGGCGGTCGAGGGATGGAACCATCGCCAGTTTACGCCCGCTTTGGCAGTGAAGAATGTCAACTTGTTCTTGACGAGGCTTCCGCTGATGTACAGTCAGGCGTCGACGCCCCTGGTCGATCAAGACGGCTTGTTCGCCATCGGTGCAAAGCGAAAGATCAAGTGGACAGAGGTGGTATGCCGAGCGATTATGTATTTCGACACAAAGCTCACAGGGCAGAGCCCATCCGTGTACAGCCTGAGCGTTTTTTCTGCCTTGGCAGAGCTGCACCCAAGCAGACCAAATGGGTTGACTTCTGTGAAGAAGTTTGTACAGAATGTCGACACGATAGCTGCGCCCTGGATCCCCCTCTCGTGAGACATCCTCAGCTTTAGGTTTGCTAACCCCGAGCCTTAAGTTCTCAGCATAGGCTTTTCCCGAGGGTTGCCACGGGCTGCAGCGACCTTGAAGACTCTTTGCAAGGTCTGTGTCAAAAAGAAGACAGTGTGTGCATTGCGATTTCTGCAGAGCTGAAGCCTTTTGCATGTATGTACATATATATATATATACACAGAGGAGCCACACAACGAATTTACAATATATGTGCTTGCCGTCCTAGGGGAGCCACAACTGTATGTTACAATTCCTGGGCCCCCCATGTTGAAGACCGTGGGGATTTGCTGCCATGGAAACCCCTATGCAGCCCGTGCAAAAACCGATACAGCGCCACAAAAAGGTCTGAGAACACCAAGCCAGGATGATTGGCCCGAAGCCACTTTCTGCTTTGTCGTCAGGCTGGCGTCCTGGCGCAAATGGATCTTCTTGGATCCCGAGGTGACTGATTTGTGGCCATAGGTGGAAGCCTACCTGAAAGCAAGAACTTTCACGGAACTCGCAAGCTACACAGCTACAGCATTGTACCAAGTTGAGGGGTTGAGTCAGCCTTTTCGGTTCTAGTGGCGCAGTTCCACGACTCATGATGTACCTCTCTGTGTGTTTTCCTGGGACACTCTGTGTTCTCCTAGCAGAGACCAGGCGTTGGACCTGCTACTCCAGCTGTCCCAGCAATTCGATTCTTTGGTGGCAGTCCCCCACCCTTAACCTAGAAAACCCGAAGCTGCGCAACCCTGAAGCTCTAAGCTTCAAAATGCTAGTCCTTTGCCTTCTGAAGGTTTCCGCTGCCAGATTGGCGACGGCGACCTCGGCGCAAAGAGCTCATGGCAGCCGAGTATGGAATACCAGGCCTTCTGGGGCTTGGAGTTTCAGTGGAAACTTCTGGAACGACCGGGGTTGTGGGCCTGTCCTTGCATTAGACTTCTCGCTGCTCTGAGCAGCTTGACCGCAGCTCTCCACATAATATGCACAGGGCACCGTCGCAGAGCCGGACGGCCGCATTCTGCTCTTTTGGAGGAGGGCTGAGGGTTTCAGGGAGTGGCTCGCCCGGTGTCCATGCCAAATCCAAATCAAATCCTCCCAGAGACGCTGAATACCAGAAGTTCCCTGCTGGCCAAATCACAGGCTTGTCTCTTTCTTCTTCTTACGCGTCGCTGCTCGATCGGCTCAGGCACAGGTTCCGTTCCGTGGCCCCCCCCCCACAGGCCAGGCTCCAAAGGATGCAGCGGCAGGATGTGAACGAGATGAACGGGGCAGAGCTTCAGGGTAAAAACGCCGAGAACGCGGTGTTAGACGGCGTGCAGCCCAGCAACATCGTCAATGTAGAAGCCCATGAGATGAACGCAGGGAAGGACGGGCAGGAGGATCTGAGCCCCGGCGTTGGCACGCCCAGGGTTCGCCAAGCCTCCGCTGCGATACCCTGGTACATGTACATGATAGCAGCCACCGCCTCCTTGAACTCGATCGACTACGGCTTTGATGTTGGAGTCAGTTCAGGTGTCGCTTTGTATTTGCGAGAGGGCTTCGAACTAGGAGATGTGGAGGTGGGAATGTTCTTCTCCGTTGTGCCCATCGCCGCAGCACTGGGAGCCATGGTTGCCCAGTCTGTTTCAGACCGCTTCGGCCGGAAAGGCAATTTCCTGGCCACGCAGTTCGTCGGCATCGCCGGAGTTTTGCTTTGCGGCTTCTCGGTGAACTATGACATGATCTTGGTTGGCCGCTTCCTTGTAGGGATCAGCGTGGGGATCGGCATGTCCATTGACCCAATGTACATCTCCGAGACTGCGCCTGCAGAACACCGTGGCAAGTTGACGACCTGGGCTGAGATGTCCGCTAACTTCGGCATCATGCTTGGCTTCTTCTTCAACTGGCTCTTCAAAGACCTGCCAGAGAATGTGAACTGGCGCGTGATGTTGCTTTGTGGGGTGTTCCTTCCGACTTTGCTTATCATCCTCACGCTCACCTTCATGCCCGAGTCGCCCCGGTGGCTGATCACCAAGGGCAGGGCGGAGGAGGCCAAGAGCATCTTAAGAAGAACGCACGCCCAGGGTACGGATGTTGATGAAGTGGTGAAGGCCATCGTGGAAGACATCCAGCAAGCAGAAGTGCAGAGAGCTACCACGTGGAAGAGTGTTCTCTGCCCTCCGCGTCAGTACCGCCATGCAGTGTTGTTGGCCTTCTTCATGGCTGTAGCTCAGCACATCTGCGGCGTGGACGGCGTGATTTTCTATGCCCCCACGCTGTATGAGCGAGCGGGTGTTGCAGACACCAAGCAGGAGCAGTTCACGCTGACAGTCACAATGGGGATTGTGAAAGTGATCTTTATTGGCGTTTCCATGGCCTTGCTGGATTCAGTGGGTAGGCGGCCCTTGCTCCTTTTCGGCAGCCTTGGTACGGCTCTGAGCCTTGCAATGATAAGTGTCGGGTCCCTGCGTGAGTTGGAGATTGGTATCCTCGCCGTGATGGGGACATATTCCTTCGTTGCTTGCTTTTCGATTGGCTTCGGACCTGTATGCTGGCTCTACGCCGCGGAACTCTTTCCCTCAACCCTTCGCTGCAAAGGGATGTGCCTCTGCGTCCTGCTGAATCGGGCAGCCGCCGCCTTCGTGAATTTGTCTTTCTTTCCTTTGTCCAATCTCCTGGGAGGACAGGCCGGTCTCTTCGGCCTCTATGCTGCTATAACAGGTCTGGTCACTGTGATGGTAGCTTTCACGGCCATCGAAACAAAGGGCAAGTCCCTGGAAGAGATTTCGGGGTCAAAGAGCACCAAGAGCCTTGAGAGTCAGGTGCCGGAGATTCTGTGACCTCGGCCTCTGGGCCACAATGTCGTATAGCTTGTGGTTTGGGGTGGAGCACGGGCATGCCCTGATCAAGCAGGGATCAGCCGTCAGTCGCCCTAAGCCCCATACCCTAAACCCTACACCATCCTAAACCTCACACCCCGAACCCCTCAGCCCCCTTGGTGTTCTTATGGCTCAGGGCTGGCTAGGTTCGCGCGAGCCGCCGCACCTACGCGCGGCCTGAGCTTCCTTAAATTGTTAGAAGATCCGGGCATCCTGATGAATCAGGACTCGCTGTAGCGACCGAGACAGCCAAAATCAGTTCAGGGGCCTCGTCGTTGTAGACCATACTCGTTGTTCCAGAGACAACACTTTTTCAGGTCCTTACAGTGAGCACATGCGCCGGCGATCTCCTGTTTAAAGTACGGCTGCCAACCGTGGTTGCAGCTGCGCCACCTCGGTATAGCCTGCAAGTGCTTGAGTGCTCTTTAAGTTGAAGATGGCTTATAAGCTCGCTTCTCAGAGCCAGTCCTTAGCTCCTCCTGGTTTAAGGCTAGGGCCTAGGGGTTGCTTAGGGCAGGGGAGGTGGCGCCAGCTGCAACAGGTAGGTGTGGTCTGTTTCTGCAGAGCGGGCAGGTCCTGATGAAGCAGGACATTGCCTCGGATTGCTGCATGTGACGTTCTAGTTTTGTTTTAATTATAGCCCAGGGCTGCAAAGGCTGCGGCTCCCTGGCGGCTCCTCGAAGAACAGGCTGCGAAAGGTGCCAAACAGTGATTCACTGGAAGGTGTGCGGAGATTTGGCACTCAGCAGTGAATTACAAACTTAATTACTGCCAAAGTGTTTCCCAGAGCATGACATAAGCCCAAACACTACCATCGTCGAGGACACCCGACTGTCTAAAGCAGCTTTTTGTTCTGGGACCCTGCTTACCCTAAACCCTAAACCCTAAATCCAAAAATCGCGCCTCTTGGCAGCTGCCAGGCGAAGATGCCGTGCCTCTCCCAGGCGGGGTTCCGGGGCGGGTTCCTTGCCATGAGGATCTTGCTGTTACCGGGCTATAACTCCCAGGTTTAACAGGTCAGGAGTCCTTCTGGGGAGTGTAATGGGAACTATACGAAGTTTGAGGACGCCTGTCTTGGGATTGGGCGACTACAATACTATCGCATTGGCGTTGTTTTTTTTTTTCGGGGGGAGTGGACTGCCATCGAGGCGAGGGGGATGCATATCTCGCACAAGACCTGATTTGATGCCATGCTTACAGGACTTATCCACACATCAGCACAAACGTCCCAGACCATACGCATCCTCATTTCACAAGAGTCAAGTTTCTCTCATGAATTGTTATGAAGCCATTCATGTCAATATTGAAACTCCCATGCCAAATGATCACCAAGATTCGAGCCTAAGAAAGGGTGAAACGTGATCAATCCTCCGGCGTCCTAAGCAACCCTAAACCCTAAACCCTAAACCCTAAATAAGCATCCCTCGGTTCCGACCGGCCCTACGGTTTGCTGGAATTGGCTTTCGGGGTCGTAGGGGGGTCGCCCCGAGAGTCAGGCCCTGGTCGCGGATCAGCGGCATCAGGCCCTCCTGCCCTTCGCCTGTTCAAGGAAAAATTGGCTCGGAGCGCTGCTAAGATCGGGAAAGGATTTGGAATTTCATAGGCTTCCCATGCGTGCCAGGGTGGGGCCACTACGGCATAAGGACCTCAGAATCCTGCAAAACATGCTTTAGAATATTCTGCATCTTATGCTCATCAAAGATGGTCGTCCATGACTTGATTGTGTCTGTGGCGGTGCGAGGGTCCCCTGCGTACTTAGCCTGTCTGTACACGACGCAAGACAAGTATCTGGACAACGCTGCGTGCTTGTACCCCAACAATTGACAGAACAAAGTTTCAACGAAGGCAGTGCGCATTGTACTTGGTGTTGCTCGCACAGATCATATCGCCCAGCCGTGCAAAGATCATTCGGTCATTGTTGTGCGGCAGTCATTCCAGTCAGAACCCACGTTTTGTGAACGTGAATTGTTGAGTTTGTGCGACGGCGTTGCGGCTCAAAGGTTTCGCTGTAGCAGCGCTGTAGCAATTCTTGAGGGTGCTTCGAGGGCCGCAGATTGTGTGTAAGTCCTAGAGTTTCACATATTTGGAAAGCCGGTTTCGGTTTGGACGCTTTGATGATCCGTGGCCTTTCGCCTGTGGCCATGGCCTGCAGATTTGGTCTTCCGTCGAGTGCCGAGGCGCAGCGCAGCTTCGTCTCCGGGTTTTTTTCAAGCAATGCTCAAGTTGGGAGCTACAACTGACGTGGATTTTTCAGGTGTGCTAAAGATCCTTCACCGCGTCCCTAATCTCATCAGAAGTTTAGGTTATGTGCCGAGTCAACATTGCTTGGTTGGCTGGCGGACATTTCGAGTCGTTCTACAGCTCCCAACGCAGGAGTAGATTGCCCAGGTCAAGGTCCAGGTGTTGAATCCCATGTCTACACTAGTACTTCCAAATCTGTTGCTTCTCAGTGTCAGTGTCAGTGCATGCCAGTGTATCGTCGGTCTCAGCCGGTCTGGAAGGTTGGGCAAACGTATCGCCACAGAATTTCTGTCGCTTCCGCTGGGCGTGTGATTTCCCAAGCAGCCGCGCAGAAGCCTCCAGCTTCCCTGCGCTTTGAGGTGTTCTGGATCTCGGACACCGAGACACCTCCATCTCAAGGACCTCGCAGAAGCTCAAGAATCTGAAGCATACCGCTAGAGCCAGTCGTCACCAGGGTGTAGCTCTGGCTGTCCGCGTAGAGAAGACGTCTTTGGGGTGGAGATGCTCGGGCTAGGCTCCGGATTTTTCTCTTTCGACATTGAGGCGAACTTCGTGTGGCTCAACAATTGCATTTTGTCTTTTTGGAGGTTGTTGGTATCTGCTCGGAAGCCATGACCTGGAGGTCCAAACCCATCAGCGCAGCCATTGAGATGTTTAGACACAATCCCGTTTCATGGGGCTTAGTGCCAGGGGCTCTTGGACACCTGAAGCTGGGCTATGCTTTGACGAGTTAGTATGAGGGGTATGATGGAGAACCCCACAAGGGGTGTTGAGGGACTGTCGGAGTCATGTATTTTTAACACTCTCTTCATTCTAAGCTGACGTTGGAAACAGCGAAAGGGTACTTTCCTGTGACTGAGAGCGATTCGGGAGCCTGGTAGTTTTCAAAATCACGGACTCCTAAATATCGACAGGCGATGGTCATTAGGGTTGCAGCCGAAGAGCCGTTCCACGCACACCCGGGGGCCAAGATTCCAAAGTCTTTTGTGCGTAGCCCTTATTGCAAGCTGAACCTCTAGTCCTTGCAAGGGCCCCCAAACCACATCTTTGCTGTTAGGAAATCTCTGTTCAGGAGAACTTGGAGCAGCATCTGCGGGCAGGAGGTCGAGACATGTGCGCGTCTCAGATACAGAAAGAAGGTCTCTTATGAGCGGGAGTGCAGTAGGAATCATCAAGAACATTGTTGGACTTCATGTAAGGCTGCGTGATGAGAGTGCAAGTGAAAGTATTGGTTGGGACATGACAGAGACAGCTGCGACATGGGCGGATCGAGTATAAAGCTCCCTCTCTCTCTTTTCGGGATGAAATTTCAAGCGGGAATCCTTGTCAACCAGATTTCTCTCTCCTAGTAATGGTGTTCGGGGGTGGTAGTGCCTTCATCTCTACGCTGCAACCCCATATGCATGTCGGAGCTCAAACCGATCCGACCTGCCGTTGCCGACCCCTCGCCCCTTCCCTAGGCGACTTTCCGAGGGAGCTAGGGTCCTCTTTTTGAGTTGAGTTGAAACCTTGTAAGTTATGTCAGCCCTCCCAGGTCTGGAAGCCCTCACCCAGAACCCCAAACCGCCCAAAGCCAAGATGTTCTTCTGTTCAGGACTCTACGGCCAGCTTCTTGCTGCAAACGAGCATTCTACAATGCCGTGTCGGCTGACGCCAGAGCTCCGCGCCGTTGCTGGTAGATGGAAAGGCTTTCGGAGGCAATTCCAAAGTTAAGCTCAGATTTACATACCCAAGCCCAACCCTAAAGCCTTGGCAGTGCTTTGCCAGATGTCTGGATGGATTCGGACTGAAGCTCTGCGTGTGCTCCCGATAAAACTTGCAGCGCCGTATGGTGCGGGTGCTTATGGCAGAGCGATGCTCACAGGAACGTCGAAGTCCTCTCGTGAGGCGATCTGCGGCGCATGCAGCATGGAAGCAGTGGGCGCCCAGCGACATCATTCAGGGAAGTGAGAACTGCGGCCATGTGAACGAAGTCTCCTTCCCATCTCAAGCATTCTAGAGCCTCCGGTGTTCCTGATCCAGTCCTGTCGTCTTCGCCTGCTGTGAAGAGTTCGTGTGAAAGAACGTGGGCTTTCATCAAATCGCTCTTCCCAGCAGCTGCTGCGCGCCAAGTGTCGTTGCACTTGACAGGGACAGCACTAAGAGCTACTGAAACCGTGTTTGGAGTTCATGCATCTTGGCACCACGTAGTCACAAACCTTCATCCGTAGCATTGCAAATTTGATGCAGTGACAGTAAATTCAATAAATTCTTTGGCACGCAAGTGCTGAGACCCAAGGGACGTTTTCACGCCCTGGCTCTCCGTGGCCGCTTTGCCCAGAACACTTGACTTATGTCGGATCGAAAGGTCGAAGCCTCGTGTAAGTCTGTGCCGTGAGTATAGTGGTGCGAGGAACCCTGTTCAGAGAACACAGCATTCATGTGGCCGGCCTCCGTCCTCGCCTCGGTGCTGGCTTTCCCTCTTCCTCTCTTAATCACCAGTGCAGACGGGTATGAATGAAGGTTATCGCAGATCCGCAAAGCATCGGCTTCTATCCCGGCAGTAGGAGCCTGCCAGTTGTCCGCAGTGTTCGCGTTGCTCGCTTGGGAGTGTGCCTCGGTGTCAGAGCAGTTGCCGGATGCAAAGGCAGGTCCTGTGGTCAGTGTGGTCATTCGACACAGCTTCCCAGATAGCTGTTTCCACTCTGGAAGATGCCCATGAGCACGAAGTCGCGTGTGTG